ACGTTTATTTACTGTGTGATTTTTTAAACAAAAATGCAGGAAAAGGATGGAACGCGAATCACGTTATATACACCCAAGCCCAACAGGGTCGGTGAATCTAATTAAATCTTTGTTGATCAGAGGCGGCGGAGCGTTTTGAAACCTGGGGGGCTAATATTTTACTCGGTCCATGCGCAAACCCAAACTCAAATTTTCCAAAATACCCTTCGCGTTGTTTGTTGGCTCCGCGCCGCCTATGTTGATATCCTAACAGCGGAATAGCACTAAGGCTATTTTACCAATGAAATTCTCAGTCTGGCTTTAAAATATAAGTTAATCAAGTAGGTTTCGTCTTCGACCGTCTTCTTATCAAATAGTCATCTACTCTTTTTTTTGATACATTAAATAATATCGACTATACAAAAGACTGACAGAACAGGTTGAATTTTCTTTCACTGACAAATAATGTGAAATTGTGGCGTTAAGTTTGAAGTTAAAGCTAGTTAAAGCATGCGGTCCAGTCAAAAAACCTTCTACATTTTTTTTCCTGTATTTTTTGTAATTTCACCGTTGTTATTTACATTAAAAAGGGTAGAAAAGATTGAAAACGTAAGTAGTCCGATGTGTTTCGATCAATCGAGGTAATCATGAATAATCATCAATTCAGATCAATTTAAGAAAGAACATCGATGGAAACAGAAAACATGAAATAATTCAAAATGCGAAGCCTGGACGTAGTGTTTGTAGACTTAAAATAAAGAAGAAAGGACCAATTTCCAATTGACTGTATATACTTGATTGAAAAAACGTTTTCGGTTAAAAAGTATAAACGATGAACGATGAGGCTTCAAGGATTTATGGGTATTTCTTAACTAAGCAAATTCAAAGTTCGTACAACAAAAGTTTACATTTGTCACGAGCCGCTCGTGCGGGTGCGAATCCCAGAGTACTTTGTTTTCTATTTATGTCTTCCAAGAAAGCCTTTAGGTCGTTATGATTTTCAAGTGTGCGTAAGCGATATGGGTACGCTCTTGTAGAGACCTCAGATGTNGGTAATCATGAATAATCATCAATTCAGATCAATTTAAGAAAGAACATCGATGGAAACAGAAAACATGAAATAATTCAAAATGCGAAGCCTGGACGTAGTGTTTGTAGACTTAAAATAAAGAAGAAAGGACCATTTCCAATTGACTGTATATACTTGATTGAAAAAACGTTGTCGGTTAAAAAGTATAAACGATGAACGATGAGGCTTCAAGGATTTATGGGTATTTATTAACTAAGCAAATTCAAAGTTCGTACAACAAAAGTTTACATTTGTCACGAGCCGCTCGTGCGGGTGCGAATCCCAGAGTACTTTGTTTTCTATTTATGTCTTCCAAGAAAGCCTTTAGGTCGTTATGATTTTCAAGTGTGCGTAAGCGATATGGGTACGCTCTTGTAGAGACCTCTGATGTGCCCTGCACAGGTAGAGTTGTGAGCTTATCCCCAAGAAAACTGAAAACCGTTCGACCTTTTTTGGAATGCATCGTCGCGAAAAGCTTCGAAAATGTAAACTTTTCTAGAGCGAACTTTAAATTTTCAATGGCAACGACGTTCTACCCATTTATCTATTAGGTCCCATCGTTCATGGTTTAGACGTTTCAAGCGACGTTTTTTCAATCAGGCGTATTTTAAAGGGGTCACCGAGAGTCAGTATCCCTGTGTTATACACGCACTGAGAAACAATCGCTTAAGGTGGAGAAGGAAGGAGGAGATAACACCATGCACCCTGCCCCTAGGTCCGCCCCTGTGTGTCAAACAAATTTTATCAAAGTATGTGTAGTTTTATTAATTTCTGATCGCTTTTTTGCATGTTTTTGCACTGTTACACTAGCTAAATAATACAATCTCACGCATATTGCTTTAAAGCAATAACAGCCGTTAAAACCAAACAAACAAATCCTGACTTTTAGTTGATTTTTTTCATCTGGACTGAAACTCTATGCGAATCTGCATGTCTCATATTTGGGTTCGCCAGTGCCCCCCGGACGTTTACAAAAATTATGAAGCCTGTGTTGGCAAACTCTACGGTACTTGGGGATTCGTTTGATCCTATATAATGATTACCTGCACGGCCTGGTCATCCTGGCAATTAAAATTGCTCACACCCCTTTCTCACTCTTGACAGTGACTACAGGAAAGAATATACACTATCCTCAACTGGGCAGTAACGGGCAAAAGAGATGAGACTCGTCTTTGCCTTAAGATGGCTTGCTTGGATTTTTCACGGGCCTCTTCCCTCATTTTGAGCATTAACTACGTCGCCATTAACAAAGGCTGGACCACCGCAGATGTTTAGATACAGAAAATTGGCCATGATAACTGTTACATTGACATCAGAGTAGCTATAGCAAAAAAAAAGTACGTCATAACTTAAAAAAGTATTGCTTCCAGCCGCATTTCTTGCCTGGCACTGTGAGGTTTTTTCAAAATTGTTCACCGGAGCTAGTTCCTCCAATAGCTACCTCGCTGTTTGTGAAATAAGAAAAAAAATCTACAAGATATTATTCAACTATTAACTAGGTGAATAGTGGTAGATATATATATCGAGACGCGAAGAGTCGAGGTGTATATCTAGCGCTGTTCACCGACCCTGAGGGGGATAGTTGTTTTAATACTTACCAAATCAGTTGGATAAAAATGAAAAAAGTAAACTTATTTGTAAATTAAAAACGTCAGTAGAAACTTTGTTTACAATTTACAAACATTTCGGGGATAGTATCAAGTGCATTTTACGATTTTGTTGCAAATTCAGCATGAAAATAATTTTCTACCTACCAGTAAACACCGACAAGCCAAAGTTTGTTGCTTACTTGGTGTTTGTTTGTACGAATGCTTCATTTATCGCTCAAAGTTCGTCTTCCGGAATGTCACGAAGCGAGACGCCATCTACGCTCCGGTCGCAAAACAGTGAAGAGCCAAGGATATTCCGAGTTACGGAAGCCAATCAAAACGCGTGAAAAGTGGATATCCACGGCTTAAGGTGGAAGTTAGGGCTTGGGTTAGAAGTGGGGGTGGGGCGAGGGTTAGGGTTGCTCCGCCAGTTCTATTTAAGGGTTAGGGTTAGGGTTAATCATGTGATTAAGATCTAGGTTTGAGTTGGGATATCTTCGGAATATCTTCGAAAAGAGTCTAAAATTGTTGGGATATCTTCCGAAGGAGTCTAAGTCGATATGTGTGGAGCAGTTAGTGAGTGCGCGGCGCGAGGAGCACGTGATCACGTGCGTAGAGTCGGAATATTTTCAGAAAGAGTTGGAAAGAGTCTAATTGGATTTGCCTGGAGTCTGGATCCAAAATAGTGAGTGTGCAGCGCGCGGAGCAAGCTCACGCGTTCGCATTTGAGAATCATGCGCCGCAAAACAAATCTCCTTAATAGATTATGAACTCATTACTAAGTATTTGCATCACACGCATATAGCTGTCGCAATTGCTCGCTGGAGTTTCTTGTTGCCTGCCGCTAAGAAATAATAAGACCGCAAACTTTATTGTGTCTTCGAAGCAAAATAATTCGGAAGGTTTCATTGGCGCACCGTAAATTTTATTTAGCTTCAAAAAGAGACCAAATATCAATCTCCATGTCGAATATTCGCGGACTTTAATATGATTTTCGAGGATTCTTAGTTTGCTTATAAGACCACCAAGTTTTACGCGGAATGTCATGTGCGCAACCTCTGAGAAAAACACGTTCTTCAATATGTCGAAAAATATGCTATATAAAGTCGGGATTTCAAATTCTTTATGCAGTAGAACAATTAGGTCACTATTTTCGAGGTAATTTTCGCTTATGTAATCTAATTAACTTCAAAAGGAAGAAAAAAGGGGTTCGACGAATACGAAATTGTACTGATTATGGAGGCCGAGCGCAGCGAGAAAGCTAATAAACATGCAAATCCTCATAATAATTTGCGTTTGCTTAAAGTTGTTTCTTAGGAATTCACCTACATTTGTCAAAGAAAGTGGGTTGGAATAATCGCGAAAAAGATTGAAAGAACGCGAGTTCATTTTGTTTTTTTATTAAAATGCGACGTTTTTACCGCTACCGCCGTAGTGGTATCTTAAACTTAAGGCGTGGCGGGAAAAATCACTTCGATGGTCTACTTCCGGTCACCATACTGGACGCTCCCGTAGTCCTTTCTTAAATTTTCTCTTATTTCGGTGTTCGACAAAGGTCGGCTACAACTTCTAGAGATTTTCCTGGAAACAGGCAGGCTCCTCCATGTGGTCCGACTTGTCTTTCAAACTACTAAAAGTTACTGTCGATTTGCCCCGTCCCCACTCCATGAGACAAGACCACTTCCAACAGATCCCCACCTCCGGGCCCAAGGGATTGAACTATTCCCGAGGGTTGACGGGAGACATGGAAAAAGTTAAAATTGAACCACACATAAATCGTTTGTCAATTCCACGGGGATTAATCGTGGCTAGAAACAGAACGCCCCTAGATTTTTCATTCGTCTTAAATTGTTGCGACTTAAGTGTTGCTTGGACCTGTAGCGGAGATTTTTGGCTGAAATGATAAGAAAGAAAATAAATCGATTTATCAATTGGTTGGGATTCTTCGTTGTTTTGCCTTAATCATCGCATCATACTCGCTAAAATGGCCTCCTCCACTTTCACCACCCTTTGCAAACTTATTGCTTTGTGCTTATTATTATCCAACACGAAAGGATATACACAGAACCACGCAACAGATATATTTTTGTATGATTTTCATTAAAATAAAAGTAGTCAACCTTTTAGTGTTCCAAGCACATCTTTATTTTAACTACCCGCCGCAAAAATAAAGCATTTTCTCCCACTAAATGAACTACAAACATGTCATTATTTAATCATTCTCTTCGCATAAGACCCCTCATCACCATAGATGAACAGTATTACGCTGAAAGTTCCCCTTAATTCTTAGGTTAGCTATTGAAATGTTTAAGTTATACGCTACGCAAAATCTCGTTTATGCTTGGATCCTGACATTTAATGCTCTAAACCCACTTGTACAGGGCGCTATTTATGTTATATTTCTGACCGTTTTGAGAGTTTGCCACTGCCAGATAGGTATGACCTTTGTACTCAAATGACGTCAAATCATGCGCTCCGTGTGTTGGAATCTCTTGGTACTTGATGAACTGCGCTCCAAAGGCCTGGTACACAACCGACTTAACGTTTTTTCCCTGACCGTCACCATTGTGATTAGCTAAACCCAGGTAAGTTCGACCACTGATCACAAATGGAAACCATGCAATACCACCTCGACCAGGAATGGACTGAAACAGGACGAACGTGTTTCCATTCCACTTATAAATGAAGGAGTCGAAGTTGTATTTACTTCCAGAATAAAAGTTGGCAAAAGCGAGGAAAGTGTGACCGTTGATGTTAAAGGACCTCACGTCTCGGGCACCATATGTCTGAAGAGACTGCAGTTTGACAAAGTGTCCCCCAGTCCACTTGAACACAGTAGATTGAACAGAATGCTTGCGTTGGGAGTTGTAATAATTTGCAAAAGCAATGAAAGTGTCGTTGTTTATGACAAACCCCGTACATCCATGAACACCTTCAGTTGGTATTTCCTGAAACTTAATAAATTTGTTGCCGCTCCACTTGTAGACTACTGATTTCGTTGAATAGGTACTTCCATCATAGTTGTTTGCAAAAACAAGATAAGTTTCGCCACTTATCTTGAAATGGGTGAGATGGGTTGCTCCGTAAGTAGATATTTTCTGAAAGTCGACAAACAGCTTTCCATTCCATTGGTAGATTGTGAAGTCCAACCGATATGTTCCATCGTAGACATAAGAAACAGCAATGAAATGTATACCAGCGATTGAAAAGTGCTCAAGGCAACTGGCTCCTCTAGTCTGTAGGGTCTGGTATAAGGAAAATTTTCCTGTCAACTCGTCCATCTTGTAGATCATGGAACTTGTCTTGTGTTTCTTAATGTCACCATAGTAGTCGGCAAAAGCAAGAAACAGACTTCCATCAATAGTGAAATGATCCACGTACACTGCTCCTAGGGTTGGAAGATCTTGAACTTTCTCAAAGAAGTGGAAACCAGAGGAGCAATCTTCGTCAAATCAGAAACACAAAGTAAGAATATAGTAAATTCATTTCTTGTTACAACTGATAACAACAAAACAACAAAATTTACCCCAAGATGAGGCCCAGTTTTAGTGACGCTGTTTTACAAACTTGTTTCGTCCTGCCGAATCTTTCTTTTCTGACAAGGGCTCTTCCGCTGTCAATACTAAAAACTAATTCTAGAAATATCCCATCAATCCCATTATTTTTACTAAGAATCTAGACATTTACAAACTTCACAAGTAATTACAGAACTTTGCCTCAAACTTTTTTGTATCACTAGAAGTTTCCTTAATCTCGTTTGGGAGATTGTTGTTATTAACTTTGCACCTCGAAAAGCAAACAATCGTTGTCTTATTTTCAGCCTACGGATTGGCAGATCTAATTCGCCACTGCTTCTAGCGTTTTTGTCGTGAGTCTTCGACTGCCGAATAAATTTTCCGTTAAGATAGCTGGGTATTTGGTCGTGAATATACTTATGAACCATTACTATATATAGCTAGACCATTTAAAAGCTGTCTACCACTCACGCCAACCACTTCAGAACGAATATTTAAAAAATAGTGAGTATATTAGTGAGCGCTACTAGTGAGAATATTAATAAAATAGTCGGTGATCTGGTCGTATTTCTTTAAACCTGAAACAATTCCAGGTTCAGGAATTAGAAAGAATTAGGAAGGACTACTAGGGGTACCTTCCGGCAAGTGCCAACGAGGCGAATTAGTTTATCTTTTGTGCAATGTGCCTACTCCTCAGATCTTCGCGATTTGTTACGTAACCTTAGAGGTTTAAAATGGATTCCGCTATAGAAAAGGATGGTACTCGGCTTTGAAACAACAACTTCGGCACATTCTAGGCTTTCACTTTTATTAACCAATTATCATAAAAATCCAGTCGAACCTCTTCTAGTGGCCACCTTCTTCTGTCCCGGCGGACAACCAGTAAATCCACTTTCGTTTTAACCCTTTAAACCCTAAGATCAAAATTTGAATTCTCACTTGTTGCCGCTATTCATTTCCTACAGAAGTAGTGGGGAGAAGTTGATAAAATATCAATCAAATTCATCTTGTGTGATCATGTCCGTAATTCTCATGACCACTCTGTTTTACAAAGCATTAATAGTACAAGGAAAATTTTGATGCTGATCACTCTTAGGGTTTAAAGGGTTAACCTCTCTAAAACGGCAATTTAAAAGAGAGTGAAGCACAAACTGATATATTCCTGTACCTTCTTCCCTTTGCTTAGTTAACTTTATTTTTTGTTGTTTTTGTTTGATTAACCTATATCGATTAAGCTACGCATAACACGCTATAAGCCTTTAGAAAACTACAAATTTTCTACCCTTTTCCAAAAGAAAGTACTGGTCTCAAATGGCACCCATTATAAGGCTTCCCTATAAAGGCCACTCGAAGCTGACTCGCCTTTGTACAATGGCCTCTTATCTCCGTAACCAAGATGGCCGTTGTAGAATGGTTCGACTGTATAATTTGATTCACCATATAAGATCACTCGTTTCCATCTTTCAAACAGACCTTTTCCTCTCACTTACATTTAAATGAAATTTCTTAGTCTCTAAAAAAAAGGTAAAAGTGGCGTTGCCCGGTGCCACAATAAATAATTCACATGTTCTTACCGGCTGAACAGCAAGTTGATGCAGTAGACGATAAGCTCTAAAATGCATAAAGGAAAAAAAGGGAAACGAAACATTCTATTATTTGCGCGTAACTGAGTGTGCCGGGTTTTCTGAAGTCTTAATCGAGTTCTAACCGGGTTATGCAAATCAAGAAAGAACGATAGATGTTCTTAACCAGGTTAGGTTTTTTTAAAGCACCTCGTGAGATAGTTAAACGCAGGTTAACTTTATCAATCAGTCATTTTCTTTTATCTTATTCTTTAAATCTTTAATTTCCACCTTATCTTTTCTTAACTTCGGTAAGTAAAATCATAAATGAGCTAAGTTGTTAGTCCCACTAAGGCAAGGAACGGTTTTACTGTCCTCAACGAAAATCAAGGATACACAAAGATTTGTGCTCTTTCTCATCAAATTCTGGTAAACCATATTAGGTTCCATATGAGTTTTTCCAGATTTTGGAAAACAAATAACTGTCAAGTGTGATAACGTGCAACAAATTAAAAGGTAAAAAATGCCCATATTCGGCTTCACGTTCGGAAGCCAAATTCTGAATTTCTAATAGGAGATATCAAATTCAAAATCACAACATCTATTTTTTGCTAGCTATCGATAACTTTATTACTTTTTAAGAGGAAAAAACCCTCAAAAAGTAAAGTTTCCCGGAAAATCTTAAGCCGAGAAAAGATTATATATTTAGTATGGGCAGAACAAGTTAAAGCATTATTGCATGAAGTATAAGACCAGCGCCAGACCTTAGCACCACATGCTCCTGGGATTCCTTTCTCTCCTCGTGATCCTTTGTCTCCATGAGGTCCCTTCTCACCCAGATGGAAAGTGGTAAAAGTTAGCAAATCAATTAGCTAGGAAAATGCATTATGTAAAACAATGTTCACTGTTTGTTTTTCTCGTATGCCCCCTTTTAGGTAATTCCAGTAAATTAATATAGCCCATGAAACAAGTCAGTTTCTGATCTGATTCACACATGGATATCTGTGCAAAGCTTAGGTGGTCGATGGTCTGTCTTTTTACTTAAAATATTTCATTTTCAGTATTGGCTGTACTGGTTTTGCTAAACAAGCCAAATGAACTGAGCCGTGATAAAATTTGTTATTATTTTTTGAGAATAAATTAACAAAAGAAGACAAAAACTGAATGTGGAAAAGGTAAAAATAAACACACATATGAACGATCTATGTCAAGTGCTGGTTCCCCCAACTGCCAGTCTTACCCTTCATTTTTTCTTAAAATCAAACTCGTCAGTGTTATTGGATAGTTTCCAAAATCAACTGCAAACACCAATAATCATTGTTGTTCACTTTATGGCTGAGCACTATAACACTCACTGTGTGGGAAATTTAAAACGAATTAAGTGGTAGAATAACATGATTGACTGTCCCTGTCCTGCGTCCCTGTGGCACCCTTTAAAAGGAAAATCACTGAAAACAGTCGGTCGTAGCAAGGATTATATTAATCAGTTTTTAAAAGCAATTAACTAACTGTACCTCAGTGATATTTCATTATGCTAGTTTCACTTTGCAAGTTGAAAGCAAACTCGGCTATAATGACTGTAATTATTTCAAAGAAACTCAGGCCGCTTAGTACCACATCAATAAGTGTTTCTATAGCTGTTCAAAATGTTTTATCCATGATTAAAAGGATTGGCAGGTTCAGATAACCAAGGCTAACATTACAATGGGGGAGGGAACACAGTTTTGCCGGCTCCAATGATTGAAGGGTTGCATGGAGAAACCGAGGGTTTAGAAAAAGAAGCTAGGATTCCACTCTGTATTTTAAATTTAGAGGCAGCTTGGCACCCAGTCTATAGAGGTTCTTCAGCTGGCATTCCCTTAAAGCTATTTAAACAAATTTTCTGGTCACTATCCAGCCAAAAAGAAAGAAAACTGCCCAAAATCTTGAGTTCAAGTTGAGCACTGTGTTGGCTTCGCCTCTGCCCGTTTAATTGACTTGTTATGAATTTATTCTTTACCTGTTTTGTTTTCTCCTTTGCTCAGCATTTACGGGAAGTGGAATCATTTTTGTGGGAAAGGTTTCTGCGAAGTCCCAAGAATCTTAAATTATTTCAAAGGAATACAAGCAGAAACTGTGGAACAAGATTTTCATTGGAGGTTTCTGTTAGCTTAACATATGGTTGGTTTTTCCATTTTTCTCTGGCTTGTTTGACTGA